TATCTCCTTATATGAATACTACCCATTACTCAATAAATTTAATTCAAAGTCATGATGTAACAAACAAGGAAAGAGCCCCAACCTTGACCTGAAATAATTTCTTTGTAGGCGGTATTTTGATATTAGGTTAAAATTATTTTTAAAAATATTTTACTGTAACATTTTAGACTGTGAAAAATTCAGCTGTGTACCAGACTTTTATAGCATACAAACTATACCAGCATGTACTAAGGCCAGTGAAAAGCCCCTCACATCATTCTGTTCCATTAGTGCACTTCATTGTGTCTCATCTTTGGCATTTGGCAATGTTACCTTGTGCTAACAATGAAAGCGCCCTTTATGTCTCATACACCACAGGAAGAGCCAGTCATACTTGGATTCATATCATAAACTTTGCAATTTGGAAAAGTTAATCTAATTGGTGAAGGGTGGCACTTTAGATTGAAAGAAAACCTTCACTGCTAACCTACGACTTTTTGTATTTTAATGTTCTTTTGAATTACAGATTCAGATCCAGTGGTAAAAATTACTTTTCTAAGATGGATTTTAGCTTGTTGTTTCTTTTGTACCAAGGTGTATCCTTTCTTGCTTCATTTATTTATTTTTAAATTAGTGACTTTTCTATTATTGTGAAGAGAAATCATAACCAAGGCAACTTAGCGAAGAAAGAATTTGTCTTACATTCTCAGAGGTTGAGTCCATGACCACCATTGTGGGAGCATGACAACAAGCGGGCAGGCCTGGTGCTGGAGCAGCAGCTGAGCTTGCATGTTGGGACAACTGCCACAGGGCTGGGAGGGGCTGACTGACAATGCCTCAGAAAAAGCCAACCCCAGGGGGACACACCTCTTCCAACAAGGCCACACCCACTATGCTTCCCAGACAGTTCCACCAACTGATCACCAAGCATAAACGAGCCTGTGGGTGGTGATTTAATTCGAACCACTACATGGAGCTGCAGAGATGGCTCAGCAGTTAAGAACAGTTTCTGCTTTTGCAGAGAACCTGACTTCAGTTTTGGGCATCCATATCCTGCATTCACAGGTACCTGTAACTTCAGGTCCCACGGAATCTGAATCCCTTCTCTAGCCTCCATAGGCACCTACACATATGTTCTCCATCCCCTACACACAAACACATATATATACACAAACACACGTCCTCACACAAATATACACACATATATACATACACAGTGTACATATAAACACACACATACAAACACACACACTGACACACAATACAAACACAAACACTGACATGCAAACACGTACACAAACATACAATACACACAATACACACAAAAAGTTAAAATCAAAAGAGAGCTACAGTTTTTACTCAAATGAATTCTACTGAGAATTTCTAAGAGGAAACTCTTTATTGATTTTTTTCTAAATAGCCATAAAAAGTTAAAAATGTTCTCAAACTAAAACTGCTAAGTTTATGCCAATGTAAGAAGCAAATTACATATTTTAACAAATCCTGGCTTTGTTAGTGAAAATATCAATGGCCAGATACTGACATGTTTAGAAAACTCTTATTTTAATTAAATTTCTAAGAGTGGATTTCAAACATTCTTCATAGACTTTAACTTGGTTTTGTAGTTCTTATTGAATAAGACTTCACTCAAGCAATTCGTTAAATCCAATTTAATTAGATTTCTTCTTATTATTTTCAATTATATGTAGGTGTGATTGCCCACATGCGGGTGTGTGACTGCAGGTACCCATAGACTCCAGAGTCCTCAGATACCTTGGAGTTGACGTTATGGCCAAACTCAGGTCCTCTGGAAGAGAAGCAAGTGCTCTTAACCACTGAGCCGTCTCTCCAGCCCTCTTAAATTCTTTTTTTAAAGGTGTGTTTTATTTATGTTGTGTGTGTTTGCTTATGTGAGTGTATATGCACCATCGTGACTTTACATACCCACTAAACTGGAGTTAGACACAGTTGTAAGTCATCACGTGGGTGCTGGGAACTGAACTCAGGTCCTCCTCGAGAGCAGTAAATGCTCTTAACCTCTAAATCCTCTTTCCAGCCCTCAGTTTAAATTCTTATGTAGCATAACCGCCAAGAACCTAAATCTCTTTTTTTATCTTTTCACACTTAGCTATTGTCCCCTGTATGACTTTTTAGAAAGTCTTATATCTTCACATACTTGAGCCTGACAGTTATGTGTAATTGTAGTAAGTATAATGTTTGGGTAGACAATGTCCCTCTATAATAGATAAGAAGACATTCCGCTTCCTTTATTGGCCCGGTGAAGAAATGGATTGTTTTTAAAGCCATTATTTTGTAGGTGTGGAAGGTTCTAGATCACTGGTTTCAAGGTGTTCTGGGTTAGTTTTTTGTCCACCTGACACAGGTGAGGGTTGTCGGAGACAAGGGAACATCAACAGAGAAAAATGATTGGTTTGTAGGCAAACTTGTGGGCATTTTTCTCGATCAATTATTGGTTTATGTGGGCCCAGCACAGCCCACTGTGTGCGCTGCCAGCGCTGGGCAGCTAGTGCTGGGTTGTCCCTTCAGGATGGACTGTGACCAGGACTTTTGGCCAAATAAACCCTTTCTTTCCCAAGTTACTTTTGGTAACGGTCTTTATCATAGCAATAGAAAGCAAAGTAGGACACAGCGTGATTTATTCCAATTAATTCAATTTACTTTCTTCGGATGTGTTTCTGTTTCAGTATCTTCATAACATGCTACCTTAAGTTTAGTTGCTTAAGAGAACACCCATCTTATTTGCTCAGTGTTCTGCAGTCTGGGCCCGGGTTGTGTGGTAGCAACGCAGACCTGAGGATCACACTCCGCTGGCCCCACTGGACGCTTGAGCCTTTCCTCCTGTGGTCTCTTCATGTTGTTTGTCTAGCAAGGTGGCTGAACTTCCTACTTGGCAACTCAAGTTTCCCAGAATGCAAAGAGCAGAAGCTGCAAAGCTCCCTTGAGGTTTATGCTGGGAGTCTGCACTGTGTCCCTTCTGCCACATTGTATTGGTCACAGTTAATCACAAGGCATGCACATTTTTATTGGTTGCGTGTTCTAGCTTTTTACAGAAATAATACTTAATTTTCCATTCTTAAGATTTTGTCTTTTTTAGAAAAAATATAATCTTTGGCATTCTCCTTTATTTATTTCTAGTTTTATTTGAATGCTCCTTTGAAAAATTGGTCTGTTTTATGGGAAAATATTTTCAGATTTTCCTGGCCCTCAAAGAATTTTTTAAAATTTTAATTCATAATTTATTGAAAGTTTGATCAACTATGAAACTCCAATCTTTAATTCCCCTGTTTTCAAATAGTAGTCAGTCTTCTTGAGTGTTGCTTCTGAAATGTTTGATGTTACTCTGCTACCTTTGAGGACAGCATGTCTCTTGGAAAGCTTGAGTCATTTGGCTTTTTGTCTTAGGAAGTCTCAGATTTCTCTGAAGAGATGCCGGATTTCCCTCTGTGCCTCATGGGACAGGGTGAAGGTGAAGTAGGAGAGAAACAAGCAGACGGTGAAACTTCAAGAGGCTTTTCCCCTGTGTCCCTCAGGCATCTCCTTAAATCTTGCTCTTCTGGGCCTCCCAGCCTCTCTTCTTGCATTCCTGCTGTCTTAGTCACTGTTCTATTGCTGTGAAGAAACACCATGACCAAGGAAGCTCATAAAAGAAAACACTTACTTGGAATTTTGCTTACAGTTTCAGAGAGTTAGTACATGGGCATCCTGGCAGGGAGAGTGGTGGCAGGAAGGCAGGCAGGCAGGCATGGAGCAGTAGTTGAGAGCTTACATTCTGATCCATAGGCAGGAGGCAGACAGAAAGACTGGGCCTGGCATGGGCCCTCGCCCACTCAACCCCCAGTGACACCTTCAAGAAGGCCACACCTGCATTTGTGTGACACTGAGTAGCAAATAAGCTTACCAAATAAGCACTCCAGCAATTGGAGTCCCCGGCCTGCAAAGCCACTTGTGATCACCAGAAGTTGCTGTCACTCTACCAGGTCAGTCCCGTGAGGGGCTTACCTCCACCGTTCTTAAAATGACAAGAGGTGTCACCAAGAGAAGGCAATCTCTTAGTGTTTTAAATACAACACTAACATTTGCTGGAGTGGACCATAGAAGAGGAAGCCGAGGAGAGTAGTAGGTACCGTTTCTGTCGACAATTTGTTCTAGACATACTTAAAAGTTTTAGTTATATTTCTATCTATCTATCTATCTATCTATCTATCTATCTATCTATCTATCTATCTGTCTGTCTGTCATCTGTCTGTCTATATGAGGCTTGCCATAGCACATACATGGAAGTCAGAGGACAACTACAGGAGTCTGTTCTTTCCCTTCACAGTGTAGATCAGACTGAGGTCACCATGCTTGTCAGTAAGAGCCTTTATCTCGAGCTCCCTCCCCAGCCCTTGGAAGGTATTTCCCCCTTGTTGTCACTCTGTTGACAGGTGTCAGCAGCTGCTCGATGCCAGTCCCTGTGGTCCCGCATCACAGTCATCTTCCAGGAGAAAAGGTCAAAATCAGCTTTTAAAAGTTGTTTCTCGGGCTAGAGAGATGACTTAGAGGTTAAGAGCACTGTCTGCTCTTCCAGAGATCCTGAGTTCAATCCCCAGCAACCATATGGTGGCTCACAACCATCTATAGTGAGATCTGGTATCCTCTTCTGGCTTGCAGGCACACATGCAAACAAAACAATGTATATACATAATAAATTAATAAATCTTTAATTTAAAAAAAGTTGTTTCTCAGCCAGGCATGGTGGTGACGCCTTTAACCATAGCACTTAGGAGGCAGAGGCAAGCAGGTCTCTGTGAGTTCAAGTTCAGTCTGCACAGTGACTTACAGGACAGCCAGAACTACACAGTAAAACCCTGAGTCTGCGCTGAGTTTTACCACCATGGAGTTTACCACCATGCCTGGCATTTTATTGATGGTTTCATAAAGCATGAATACCACAATATTTATATTTTCATATATCTACTTATTGTACTGATTTCACTGAAATATCTCGTTTCTCCTAGTTCCACTTACTTATCTGGATGCATCAGGAGAACATGAAGACAATTTTGTAGAATATATCTCCTTTATACATCAATATGATGCCAGGAAAACTCCCTGTGAGCCCATCCGGGGAAAGGTGAGGCAGCGTTAAGAACTAATTATTAAATACGGTAGGGCTGAATAAATTTATGCAAGAACATTTAAGCCTTTTAAGTCATATTTGTTTTCCTGAAAGCTTATGTAAGCAAATATAGTCATTTCTAGAATAGACTCGGCCATGTGCCATTTTAAAACCAACGAGTGATGTCATGATTCTGAACCACAGGGATTTGGGTTTGTTTACTGAAAGCACTTATTAAAGTAATATTGATAAACTTTTAGCTGTTCTTAATGTATGTGTGCCAGGAGGATACATGTAAGGCTTAGAAGCTGAACAGAATTGAATAGTAGTTGCTGAAATGTTTTCTATTATACAGATGTTTATTTTCATAGTTCACTGTGAGTAATCCTTTTTGACATTTGGACACAATCAGCAATTCTATGAATTGTAGCTTCATTTGCAGTCATAGCAACCTACAAAGGAAAAAATAAAATTGTATACAAATAGTTGTGTCCACTCCAGCGATAGAAAAGCACAGCTGCTTCTTTGACTGCTGGCTTCTCATTTCTCTGCTCTCGATCCTTTCTCCATTTACAAGGCACTGTCTTTAGTGTTGGGCTGAAGGGTCAGTCAGTGAAGAGCAGAGAAACAAGTTCCTTCATCACCAGGACTTGAGCTAACCCACATACCAGCTACAGTTCTTGCTTCCCCGGTTAATGTCATCTTTGTTTTCCTTTCCAGAGACATGGAACCTTCATTCAGAGACAGATAACTTTGCCAGTAGTTTCTAAGGAACCAGAGGTATTATTGAACACTTTAGCATCAGGTTCATCAGAACAACCAAAAAATACAGAAAAAGGAAGTTCATCAGGAGACAAAGTGACTTCACTGGTCCCGTACCAACAGAATTCCCAAGAACTGCTGGGGACACTGAACAGTTTATCAGAACCAGACGGCAGCCCGGCCCAGCACGCCCAGAAGCCTGGGGATGGGTGAGGACTGCATGTTTCTCTCAACTGTAGGGCAAGCTCTTCTCACCAGGCATGGGCCTTTAAACCCGCTAATAAAAAAGTCAGGATAACTTCCGGTGTGCAGATAAGAGTGTAATCCCTGGAATGCAGGCAGATTTCCTCAGTGCCTTGTGGACACTTGGCATTGGCGGCATCAGTGTGGTGGCTGTTGTTGCTGTTCCTGTTATCAGTGACCTCAGAACACAGAATTTACATAAACAGGAAATGGTGGAACAGATTAAACAATAACACCCAAATTTTAAGCCCAGTGAGTGACAGATTATGAAACACTTTCTTTATAAACAAAACAATTTACAGAAAAAAGCTCTTAAAGGAGAGGCCCAGTTTCCACAATCAGCTACAGCCCTGGAATCAGACAAACTGGTAGGAATGTGGACTACAGTTCCTCAAAGTTGTGTGATCTTGGATAGGTTACTTAGCCTGTCTAGATTCCGTAAAATTATTGAGCGTGAGATTGTACGCATTGATCAGTCAACGATCATTGTGATCTCGTTATTACTTAAAATTTCAATTTAAGGAAAATTTGCTATAAATTTTAAGTCATCTTCCTTATTCTAACACTTAGACTCCTCTCTACACAACTGAGGATGTGAAAATCAAAAGCACACACATACAAATCAAAAACTCATGAGACCAAAGATCTCCTAAACATTATTTTAGCGTCATCCTTCATCACATTAGCTTGGTTTGCTTTTAGATGATTTGATAAAAATTGCTTCTACAACTCTTCTGATTTGTTGTTTAATGGGTCATGATATACACAAGCTGTTTTGTATGCATGTATAGTCAGGTTGAAGCATGTTGTATTGTACACAAGCAGAAGCAGGCGAACTTTTCCTGTGATGTAGACTACCGCTAAATCTTTATTCCTCCATCCCGTCCCACTAGGGAATTCTAATAAACTACAGATAGTAAGTGCCATATTTGTGTGTTGGTGGTTTCTGACTTCTATGTCATAGTGGATTAATATTGGTGGTGAATTGTGTTGCTGCCAAAATTCGGTGTAAAATAAACAATCAAATATAGACAATAATAAAAGAGAACTCCCGTGTTCCAAAATAGGAAATGTGTGTTTCTGCGCGAGTGTGTAACTTGACAATACTGTCGAAACGCTCGCATTACCTTGTCACTTAACAGCTCTACAGTCAGGTGAAAGCTGACTGCGTATACAGTGCCCGCTAGTCAAATCATCCTCAGATCTTACCTGCATACTCGTTCCAAAGTTCAGTGTAGTGCTGGAACAGATTATTCTGAGGACAGTCTGGCAATCTCGTAATCAAAGAAGAGCATGCAATCAAGAATGTGAGGCATCTCAACAAACGCTGTGTCGAGTCAGGCTAGGAGAAACTCTGATAAAGGAAAAAAAAGAAAGGTGGTAATCAGGTTTGAAAAGGAACCTGAAGACTTGATTTTGAATCCACGTTGGAGCAGATATGCAACCTTATGGTCTCCAAAGCGGTAGAACTGCAGCCTTGAAGCCAGGCTTTCAAATGACTTGCTGCCAATACAAGGCAGACTCCATTCCATTCGCAGCGAAGAAGACAGCAACAAAGTTTACGACTGTCTCAGCTACAGATAGTGAGGGCTCCCGTGAAGAAGAGCCTGAATGTGTGCCCATCGCAGTGTGTGACATGGGTTTATGATAGGGTTTCTCACAGTTCACAAAGCTAACACGTCTGATGCTTCTGAGATGCCCAACAAAAGCCCATGCAACCCCCACCCCGAGATAGCGCCACGATCCACAGGAGGAAAGAAAGATTAAATCACGAACAGAAATGACACATCTGAGCCAGGAATGGTGTCTCAAGCCTGTAGTCCTGGCATTAGGGAAGCTGAGGTAGGAGGATTACAAACTTGAGGGAAGCCTAAGGTCCACAGGGAGACCTGTCTCGAGAACAACTCTCTCAAATAAAATTACAAAGCATACAAGGAAGAAGAGTGAACCAAGCAAAAATCTTCTACAAAAACGATGAAAGCTTCAAGACGGAAGATAGTGGAATTTGAACGCCTTGAAGATTGTGTGTGTATGTGTGTGTGTATGTGTGTTTCCATAGGTGTATGTGTTTGCATGTATGGGTGCATGTAGGCGCACATGTGTGTGCGTCTGTGTACATGTGTGTATGAGTGCGTGTGCGTACATATGTGTGCACGTGAACAGGGTGTCTGTATGTACGTGTGCGTGTAAGTGCGTGCGTGCGTGTGTTAGGAAATTTCGCTATATTTTTGGTTACTTCTGTCCCTTCTGTTCTCTCTCTTCGCTTCTGAAACAGCGACATCTGAGTCTGTCGTCTATGTCCCCTAACTCTTCCTCCTTTCCCTTTTGTGTGGTACTTAGTAATGTATTAGTTCCTTTACAGTAACGTTCTTCTCACTTGATTTTCACCCATACCCTTATGCCAAGCTGTCTAAAAACATAAAATCGTGCTCACTAACCCTCTATCACAGTACACAGACATGCTTCATTAGTACATGACTCTATTACAGATACGACAGCACCCGGAGTACTGTGGCTGGACCTTATGTCTTCTGTTTGCTTCCTTCAACGTACCGATTTTTTTCTTTGTTGATTGAGATGTCTCACAGTCTTGGTTTCAGGTTCTTCTTTACTTATGTGATCCCTAGACCATCAGTATAATCGTTTTTAGCTTACTGCTGCCTAGCTTGGGGTGAGGACACACGCGTAATCGGAGGATGGTTTGACTACCGGGGGATCTGACTCCAGCGGGAAACACTAGCTTCTTAGGCGTTGCTCTGCCTCTCCAATCCTACAGCATGACTCAGTTTCTGCCATCACTTCCTACTGTTCAACCCAAGTCTGAGACTGAGGAAAGATGACAGATTTGCTCTTCTGTGTGCAATTTCCTAATTTTTCAAACCGACACATGCCCCAAATTAACACATACTCATCATGACCAGCTTATGCTGATAGTCCATCAGATCAGTGGCTCTCAGTCTGTGGGCCGCAACTGCTTCGGGGGCTGAACAACTCTGAGCAAGGGTTGCCGGGCACCATGGGAAAATAGATATTTACTTTATGATTCATAACAGTAGCAAATTACAGTTATGAAGTAGCAAAAAAAATTTTATGATTGGGGGTCACCACGACATGAGGAACTGGATTAAAGGGCTGCAGTGTTAGAAGGTTGAGAACCATTGATTAGATCTACCACCGTTCATCTCTACCCACGTACTAGGCTTCTGTTTCCTTCAGTTTTATTCATCCCAGCATTTATTCTTTGGCAGTATCTTTTCAAAACTGGTTAGAAATGTATTTTTCTTACTATATCGTTTCATTTTTTAATTCTCTTAAAATGGATTTATTATTTACATTTATCTGTATGTGAATTTATGAGCTCCAGGGGGCAACAAGCACCAGATGTGCATAGTCAGTCTGCCATCTTGAATCAATCTCTAAATCTCTTTTAAGTAAAGTGTTTGCAAACTTAACACATTGTCCATTAGTAAATAACATATTCTCTGCAATGGACCCTATGGTTGGCTGGTAAACATTATTGAGGCTTCTTAAAAGGTCTTTTACACACAGAGTATGTTTTACTAAAAGGAGTTTAGGGCAAATAGCCCAACAATGAGCTATTACTACCATGGGTAGATTGGTTCTTAATTTTTTCAAATATGAGGGTATGTTTTTGCATTAAAAAAGAAAAATTTATGCTTCCTTACAAAAGTAGTAATTGAATTTTCAATGTCCATTGTTTGGAATGAATAATTACAAAAAACAGTGATGTACCCTTGATTATGTGTTTGAACTACATAAGGTACATCAATCCAAAAGTGAATCCTGCAGTCTATTAAAGTCATAATTGCTTCTTAGTACAAATGGTATGTTGACATTTCACAAGAGGATTTTCATTTTTTTTATTTAATTTCTTCACCAGGTACTTTCAAGGATTGATAAACTTTATCAGAATGTGGGGTTGTTGTTTTTTGTTTTTTGTTTTTTTTTTTAATTACCACAAACCAAAATCAAACCCATGATGTTTCTTATAACTTAACATTTTAAAATTCTGTAATGAGTAAAGCAAAAGACACTGTTGTCAGAACAAAAAGACAGCCTACAAACTGGGAAAGGATCTTCACCAACCCTGTATCTGACAGAGGGCTGATATCCAGAATATATAAAGAACTGAAGAAGTTAAACAGCAATAAACCAAGTAATCCAATTAAAAAAGAGGTACGGAGCTAAACAGAATTCCCTGTAGAGGAATATAGAATGACAGAGAAACACCTAAAGAGATGTTCAATGTCCTTAGCCATCAGAGAGATGCAAATCAAAACGACCCTGAGATTTCACCTTACACCTATCAGAATGACTAAAATAAAAAACTCAAGTGAGAACACATACTGGAGAGGTTGTGGAGAAAAGGGAACCCTCCTCCATTGCTGGTGGGAATGTAAACTTGTACAACCACTTTGGAAACCAATCTGGCACTTTCTCAGACAATTAGGAATAGCGCTTCTTCAAGATCCAGCTATAGTACTCCTAGGCATATATCCAAAAGATGCTCAAGTACACAATAAGGACATTTGCTCAACCATTTTCATAGCAGCTTTATTCATAATAGCCAGAACCTGGAAACAACACAGATGTCCATCAATGGAGGAATGGATACAGAAATTGTGGTACTTTTACACAATGGAATACTACTCAGCAATTAAAAACGAGGAAATCATGAAATTTGCAGGCAAATGGTGGGAATCTAGAAAAGATCATCCTGAGTGAGGTATCCCAGAAGGAGAAAGACACACATGGTATATATTCATTTATAAGAGGGTACTAAACCTATAGATAGGATAAACATACTGAAATCTGTATACCTAAAGAAGATAAACAAGAAAGAAGACCCTGGGTAAGATGATCAACCCTCACTTAGAAAGATAAATGGGATGGACATTGGTTGTAGGAGAAAAAAAGTAACAGGACAGCAGCCTACCACAGAGGGTTTCTGAAAGACTCTACCCAGAAGTGTATCAAAGCAGATACTGAGACTCATAACCAAACCTTTGGCAGAGTGCAGGGAATCATATGAAAGAAAGAGGATGACCTGGAGAGGACAGGAGCTCCACAAGGGCCAAATATATCTGGGGTCTTTTATGAGACTGTTTCTCCAACCAAGGACCAGGTATGCATATAACCTAGAACCCCTGCTCGGATGTAGTCCATGGTAGCTCATTATCCAAGTGGGTACCCTAGTAAGGGGAACAGGGACTATTTCTGGCATGAACTCAATGGCTGGCTCTTTGATCCCCCACCCCCCGAGGGAGGAGCAGCCCTGCTAGGCCACAGAGGAGGAATTTGCAGTCAGTCCTGAAGATACCTGATAAGCTAGGGTCAGATGAAAGGGGAGGAGGTCCTCCCCTATCAGTAGACTTGGAAAGGGATAAGGAAAAGATGAGGGAAGGAGGGTGAGATTGGGAGGGAATGAGGGAGCGGGATACAGCTAGAATACAAAGTTAATAAACTGTAACTAATATTAAAAACAATTCTATAATGAATGTTTTCAACTCTAAGATTGCTACTAGCACTAACATATATTTGTGTTTAGGTCATCTTTAAGATGCTGATAACACCTAACACAAAGCAAGGGCTTTGTAAATAGTTGTCATGCCCCGTGTTGTTTAGGAGGTAACAAGAAAATAGTCTATACGTGTTCAGAACAGGTTGTGTTTTTAAAGCATTTTTGACTCAGGTGATTCCATCAGATGCAGAGCACAACTGTACTTTCCTAGTAATTAACGTTATACACCAACTCTGCACTAGAAGCATTCCAAAATGAGCCCCAGAGATCCTGGCTTCTCTTCACAATCCTCAAAACAGGTAAGTTGTGACTGGACACAGTGTAGAATATTAATTGTAGTAATAAAGGCACTTGAATTTCCACACCTAATCCTTTGTTAAATCACCTTAATTTGAGGATATGTTTGCTTTTACTTCTGTTCCTTAGTAGAAACAACAGCAGCTTATGTGTTTTGATGCAGTAGGAACTGAAAATGGTGGAAAGGTACTTTTAAGAGACTGTCACCCCTGGCCATGGGCACAGAGACACCTTGTTGGTGATGTTCTTCATATGTCAGTCAGGGGCAGAGCAGATGGCATGCCTTGCTCATCCCAGCTTGATGCCTGGCTTGGTGGCTAAAGCTGTCTCATGCTTAGGACTCATAAAAATCCAATCCAATCAAATCCAAGCAGGGCAGTGTAGGAAGAGGAAGACAGACGGAGACCTTCGGACTCCCATGTCACCCACAGACCTGCCCTCCAGCTCACAGTACAGACAGGCCACAGGCACCAGCTTGCTGCTACACACTGCCTGGATGGAGGCTGTCACCCAGGGGCCTGCCAGCCACGTGCTCAGCCTGCAGCAGGAGCCACCGCAACATGTGGATATGTGGCAGTCAGAAAGGAGAGAAAGAGAAGGGGAGCAGCTTGGGCATTATGAAGAGAGGTGGAACTGGAGACTGGAGGGTGGAGAGGAGCAGCCTGCCGTGAGCGGCCAGCCCAGCCATCTGGGGTCATGGTGAGGTCCTGGCCTGAGCTGCTGATGAGGGCCATGTCTGGGTCGGCGGCTGTGCAACAGCAGGGGTCAGCGTTGATGACTGTGGCTCATATTACCACTAAAGACCATGGGGACTCCTTGGTCAAGGTAGCTGCGGGGGGCCATGTGGATGTCCAGAAGCTGTGCATAGCTGTCCCCACCTTTCACCGGCTATGGCGCTTGGGAGAGCTGCTGGCAGCACCTAGGAGAATGGGCCCTGTACCTTGCCCAGGCAGCACAGTGGCACTGGGATGTGGGTAGCCCTGAGGGTCTGAGTGTGGGAAAGCTAACCCTACCATTTATCTGCCATGAGGTGGCACAGGCACCGAGGTGATGCCCCCTCTGCCCTTTGCCACCTTCAGTTATGAGCTTGGAAGAGTTAACCCTGCCCCTCACCAACTGCAGCCCTTGGAAGAATGGGCCCTGCCCCTTGCCTGTCAGCACAGCAGAGCTGACCCTGATGGGGGGAGCACAAGGAGCCAGGTCCCAGGATGAGAACATGGGCAAGGCGGCCCCACCACTCATCTGCTGTGAGGTGGCTTGGTCAGGGAGATGTCCTCTTTCCCCTTGCCACCTAAGGCAGTCAGGAGTGTTGACCCAGGCTGCAGCACTCAGGAGGACAGGCTCTGCACCACACCTGAGCAGACACGGTGAGCCGGCCTCCAGGACAGACGGAGGGAGTGTGGGCGAGCTGGCCCCACTACTCATCTGGCATGGGGTGGTGTCGGGGTGAGGATGGTGCCCTCCCTTCCTTGCCCCCCACCAACTGCAGCAGTTGGTAGAACTGGCCGTAGGGTCCTGAGAGCAAGTGAGCTGGCCCTGCCCCTTACCTCTTGCAGGATTCTTGCCTGACCTCACCTGGACAATACGATGGAGCTGGCCCTGATGGCGAAGGCATCAGGCAAAGGCTGGTGAGCTAGCCCCGAGGGTATAAGAGCAGGAGAACTGACCAGGCCTCCTACTATTGGTGGCATTGGGTGGCCTGGCCAGGGCAGTGCTGGAGAGCTCACCTTGGTGGTGCAGAGAAGTAAAAACTGACACTGGCCGGCTCTGCTGCCACCCAGGCCCAGATCCAGGGCTCTGAGTTGGCCTCCCCCCAAATCTATATCATCTGGGAGTGGTTAGAACACGTGAAGGGCTAGTCCTGCTGTTCCAGGGCTGCAGGGTCTCCATGACAGGATGACCGGGAGGACCCCTGGTTAGGATACAGTTTTGACGAGATCACAGAAGCCAGAGATCTCAGGCTAGACCGGTGACTCATTGCAGTGAACATTTGCAAGTGAAGATGTGTGGGCAGAAGGATACACCGTGGGACACACGGTGACACACTACAGCTTCCATGATGAGGTGTTTTTGATGCTTTGGTTTTTTTTTTGTCCTTGTTTGTTTATTTGCGTGTGTTTTATTTTGAGGGGGAGGTTGCAAAGGTAAAGGGCCGATAGGAGGAGATAGGGGGATAAACAGGACTGAGGTGCCTGATTTGAAACTCAATAAAAAACAGAGAGAGAGTCTATTGAGGGTCCCTTACCTAGCCCATGCCATCCGGTTCGCACTTTTTATACAATAATTCTTAAATATCACCAAGCCAGAAACAAAGAGAAAATCCTTATCCATGTGTATCTGCTCTCAGGGTTTCAGTTTGAGGCTGTGTAGTCCGAGGACATGCCTGTGCAGTAAGAGATCAGCCTTTCCCCAAAACAAATCTGGCCATTTTTCTTGGCTTTGAAATAACTTTTTTTTCTTCCTCCTCCTCCTTCTTCCTCCCCTTCTCTTTCTCTTTCTCTCTCTCTCTCTCTCTCTCTCTCTCTCTCTCTCTCTCCCTTTTTTCTGGAGACAGTCTAGTATCGCTCAGGCTAGTTTCAAAAGTGACTACATAGCCAAGGATAACCTTGAACTCTGGATCCTCATGCCTCTACCTATGAGTGCTAGGATTACAAGTGTGTATCACTATGCTTGACTCCTGTGAAATAACTCCAAAAAATAGGTAAATATGTCTTTGTTCCTGCTGTGGTGGTGTGTATCTTTAATCCTAACACTCAGCAGCAGGAGGCAGAAGTAGGGGCAATCCCTGTGAATTCTAGGCCAGTCTGTTTGAAAACAGGCAGGGTTAAGTGGAGAGACCCTGTCTCAAAAAAAGAAGGGAAGTGTGCCTGATAGTCCATAGTAATATTGTTGGAGTTGGTCTGGTGCTGTATATTCAAATGCTGATTTCAGTGCCTTGAGATCTGGTTACTTCCCTTCCATGGGCATTGCTATGAATGTTGAACTATCTCCTGTACCCATGTGATGAGAAAGAATGTTTCCCAATTATTCCCGATTGGCTGATTAAAAGGCCTGAACCTTGGCTCAGCAGAAGGAGGTAGGTGGAGCTAAGGTTTGAGGTCTTTGGGGACAGGAAAGAATCAAGAAAAAAAGAAGGAAAGAAAGAAAGAAAGAAAGAAAGAAAGAAAGAAAGAAAGAAAGAAAGAAAGAAAGAAAGAAAGAAAGA